TTGGGCCTCCTTCTAACGGACCTTGGTACTGCAGCAGAACTTCCTTTATTTGCATATTTTGCCCTGAACCTGTTATGGTATTAATTTTATGGTGGAAGATAGTTTTCATGTCAAGAACAATTGGTGTGGGTTTGGTCTCCCTATCAGCTTGTTCTGGAACTAAAGGGGTGAATGTTTTAAAGTGGATAAATCAAGAAAGGAACGACGAATTTTCTGGAGTTCAGGCACGTAGATAGCTTAAACAGAGATGTCAATCAAGTAAATTCAATGCCTTTATTTTACTTTGTAAAGCTTGTTCGGCCTGTAATAAGTCCTTAACCTTTAAAATCCATGATCACAATGTGCAGAATGAAATGCAAACTATGTAAATGGGGGCTTAATATGCATGATTGATAAGAAAACTTAAAAGTTGCATTGTTGCACACAATAGCACACAATATAAGTATGCAATATATGTCATATATGCAGAGTGGAACATTAACAGATAACAATAATGCAAATATACACATAATTGGTATAATAGATGGGAAAGGAAGGAAATCCATACAGTTACATTGTTTTGTTTCAGGCAGTTCTACAGGCCAATGCTGGGATCCTGGTGTGCCGACCAATGGAAACAGGGATAACAACAGTAACTTTACATCAGGACAGACAGTCAGGTACACCTGTATGGACGGGTATCAGCTGAGGGGGACTGCTAATATAACCTGCCAGCCGAACGGGACTTGGAATGGTGCTCCACCAACTTGTGAAGGTAATAAATAAAGAATTAACGTATTTTTTAATGTTTGCATATTACATACCAATAATTGTTGGGTGATGATGTTATTTCTCATTCCACAGTAACCAGCGTCACCGGATGTGGAGGGAACCTGACAGCTTCTTCTGGAGGCCCTGTGACGTCACCCAACTATCCCGGTAACTATGGCAACAATGAGAACTGCGAGTGGCTGATCACTGTACCAGAAGGAAGCATTATACGCCTTACGTTTGACAGCTTCAACACTGAGTTCAATCGGGACTATCTGACCATCTACGATGGAGCCAGTGATAATGCTCCAGAGTTGAAAGAGTAATTATTATCATTTATTTGTTTCAGGCAGAACTATTACAGACTATTCTTAGAATGAATGAACTTTATTGCCCGACAGTTGTACATTGTACAATGTTTGCAACAATGACAATGTGAGCAATGCGATAGGTCTATTCTAAGAAACTACTACTACTGCAAAGAAAACGTAAATGACGTATTGACATGATGTACGTTACGTTTGTTACAGGACGTTCTCTCCTCTGTAAGGCACTACACATGTATTTAGTCCTAAGTACGTAGATATGGAGTCGGGGTATAACTTCAGTACATTGAAAATTTTTTGTGTTGGTCTTTGGGAAAGGTTTACTAGCTTTACACGTGATCATATTCATTTTCTATTGCCAGCTTGTGGGAACTGATTCTTAATTTGCTAATGTTAGCTGTTAATGTTAAGTGTTAATGTTAACTAACTGACACCAAAGGTATTAGTCAGGTTAAAAACAAACATCGCACTGGCATTACAAGTTCTAGGCAGATCGAAACACACGATAAAGATCTAAGTTATATACATGTATTTTATGTTCCTTAAATCAAATCTACACGAAGTAAAAATTATAACCCATCAACATGGTGTATTCAAGCTACTCTAAACGCTTGGATTCATTCTGCATAACAAAAACTACACAAAAGATGGGAATATTACAATAGTTTGTGCGTCAAATATCGATTTTCCTTATCATTTCATAATGTCTAGGTTAACCGGTGACCAATCGCAAATTATCCCCATCATCAGCACATCCAACACGATGTTCCTGAGGTTTACATCTAACAAAAGGGTCAGACGTCAGGGGTTCCAGTTCTCCTACACAAGTAAGATGTTATGCTACATGTACACTTCTCAAATTGAAAAAAGGTAAATGATGTCCTTTAGAATGTTGTTCAATATGAACTGTATTTGTGGCGGATTTCTTTAATTTTCGGTATATGAATAGTTTCCAGGATTTAGGTAAATAAAAATGTAGGTATTGTTATTGCTCTGTCTTTGTGTCTGTCTGTATGTCTTTGTGTGTAAGTTTCCATCTAGTTGTGGTCAGCGTTACCTATGGCCCAAGAACGTCTTCATGAATTGTGATGACGTTTGCTATATTGGCAGGTCTTAGGGCCTTCTCCTGACTTGGTAATGCAACAGAACTTCTGTTTTTTAAAATCTTTTTCCATAACATTCTATGGTCTTGATTTTTTGGGGTCTAGGTTTGGGTTTTTGTTTTTATTTTTGGCGTGTTTTTAGGCTTTTATACGGTTTTCTTTTTGTACTGGATTTTTTTCCCAACCTCTGCTTGGAGACTGATGATACCTTTCCATATTACTTTTTTTCTAATTTGGTAAATGTGCATGATTGATAAGGGCTTTTGAAATTGCATTGTTGTACATAATATGACTTTATGGTTTGTAACATTGAGATTCTTAATTGACACAACAAAAAACACGGCGGT